AAAAAGTAGAAGACTTGAACACATCACTCTCAGTGCAAAACAAATCGAGGACCTAAAAAACAAATACATGTTAATGAAGACTGAAGTAGTACAATCTTATATAAATACATTGGGGAGCAAAAGGTGTCTTAGTCTGAAATGAACCAAAAATTAAAATTAAAATTACACGTACATTTGGTCCCTTAAACCCCACAGATTTCTGTAAAGTAGAGATATTACAAACAACACTTTCTTACAGGGGTACAATGAATTTAGAAAACAGCACAATTTAAAACTGAATATAAACAATAAAAATAACAATGTCTTTTTCTTTTACAATTAAAAAACCTCCTTATTAGTACACAGGAGAAAGAGAAATTGCCAAAAAACTGTGGAATTCATCCTACATGTCAGAAACTAGCGGCTATAATTAAAGCAGTAATCAGAAGACAGTGTGTGGCTTTCTGTATTTATATTGTCTTCCTTAATATTTTTATGCATTTGATTTCCTTTGCCCTTAGAGTGATATAGTTAAGTCTTTCAGGACTTTCCTCTTGCATTTGTTTCTTCTCCTTGGAATTATAAATTGAGGTGCAGTTAAATCAGAGATATCTTTAAACTGTGTGGATTATCATAGACTCTTGTCATGGCTGCTGGGGCTGGGGGTGTCTTCAGGCCACAGGGTGGGGTATCCTCCAGGGGGTCTGGGGACCCTGACCCACCCTCTCTTCTTTCTCCCTCCCACCATGTCCTGCCTCACCTCCAGCCTGAAGCAATGGGGCCATCATTCCTGGGCTAAAGGCAAAGAAATTCTGGGCTGAAATAAACCTTTGCTCTTTAAACACCGACCATCTAAAGTCTTTAGTTAAAGTGATGGAAAGCTGACTAACAAGAGGCCATTTCTCAATAAACAGCTCTACTTTAGTGCTTTTGAAAAAACACTAAAATACGGTGGGCGCTTTTTATGTGATATTATGAAATGAATTATATCTGTGAGTCATAGAAAGCAACGGACTTGTTATAGCCGTGTTTCTGAGTAAGATAGGAGGAAAGGAGAAGGAAAAATATGCACAGAATGAAAATCACTATTCTCTTAACCGCTTTATTATATATTTTCCACTTGTTTAATAGAAAAATAAGCATCCTCTCACAGCCAAAGAAATAGTAGAGGCACAGATACAGTAGGAAGGGAAATCATGCATTTTCTCCTATTTGTGGAAGCTGATGGTTTAGGTCTGTCCAAAACAAACCTCACTATATAAAGAAGGAAATTCTGTCTACGCATTTGTGTAGAAGGCATCTTGATAATATCTGTGAGGGCCGCGAGTTATTCTGGAACCTTTTCCACTTCAGGAATACTGATTTTGCGGCGGCCAAGCAGTTGCTCAGGAGGGTTCGTGGCTGCCGCCCCAGCTGCCTTCCTGGGGAGGCCCCTGTCTGCCAGGCCTCAGGGCCAGCCGGCCCCCTCGGAATGCGGGTGTGTGGGCTGGAGGAAAAAGTGCAGGCGCTGGTTAGTTGCAAACCAGAACAAATAAGCCACAAGAGGGCATCCTGTCCTTCATTTCATGGCCTTCTACAGATAAAGGTGGCCTAAACTGGCACCCTAGGATCTGCGCCCCCACCTTGAAGGCTGTTCTGCGTCTCAAATATGCCAAAGGTTGAACAGTGGCAGGGGGTGTTAGGAAAAGCCAAAACCCAACTTAAGCATTTTTCATGTGTGGGATGTACACGGACGTTGTTTATTTTTCCTTAAAATCCTTCCTTGGGGTTGTTTATTGATACAAGTACACTGTCACAAATAAATTCACAGACTGGCCTGGCTGTAAGCTCTCCCCTCTGCCATGCTGTCTGTCGGGTCTCTGCCTCAGGACGGGAGACCTTGCCAGCTCAGTGTGTTCAAAGTCAAAGAGGGCTTTCTTCTCTGAGGCCTTAGGATTTGGGCCAAAGGGGTGGGGCTGTGTTTTTATTTTTATTTTGAAGCACATTCCTGCTGAATTTAATTATTCACCCCACCCCAACCCAGCTAAGTAAATATAACCTAACATACAGACTCCTAACCTTTGGAAAAAGAGCTGATTTTTGTAAGGCTCCATAGCAAGGTGAAGGGCTCTGAGCGGGCATCCAGCAGGAGTCAGAGAGCGGGGTGGTCGCCCATCCGGGCCAGGTCTCCCCACCGGAGCGCCACTGCCTGGAAGGCAACCTGGCATCTCCCAGCTCTGCACCCTATTTATGCTGTGGCTCCATGAAGCGCAATCTGGACAGTTTTACATTCCAATTAACTAACTGTAAATTATCTTCAGTCTTTATCTGATGATGAAAAGCAGGAACGAGTTTACTTCTGAGAGTTGCTGTGTGTGTAATTAACACTGAAATACAAGATAAAAGTCAGGTGTGGTCCTTTGGCCATTAAATAGTGAAATTGGAGTGTAAATTTCTAGGGCTCCAGCGGGGAGTTGGATTCCCGTGATCAAGTGAAGTAGCTGGAGAAATTACCCGGCATTTACAAGGGGAAACACTGGACAGACAAAAGGTCGGGGCTGCTTTCAGCTCAGCTGTCACTTGCTCCAAGCAGACGTCAGTTACCTACGTCCCAGGTTGCTCTTGCCTGTCAGTATTGATGTGTTCAAACCCTGGAACAGACTCCACGCCGTGTTCATGGTAAAGCAGGGAGGTTGTGTATGGCCCAGCTATAGCTAGTGATACAGAAGTGAACGCCAAGTGAGTGTTTTTAAGGCTGTTTATTTGTACATAAAATTTCCAGCCTCTTCCATCTTTTCCTTTCCTTTCAAATTTATCAAATTTCCATGCCTGCTCGGAGTGATCCGGACAGAGGCATCAGTGGACCAGAGCAGCGGCCTGGTAGTTTCTTCAGAGCAGAGCCCAGTCCCGGGATTCTGGGCTCAGGTTTTGGACCTGGTAATGATGTTCCTCTCTTCTGGGCCAAGGCAGCTATGTGCGGAGTCGGAGGAGCCCAGAACACCCCGACTCTACCCTTCCTCCTCGACGCCCAGTGCCCAGGCTCTCCCTGTAGACTGGAGATTGCGGAAATTCCCCCATTAGAAATTTATTCTTGGCTTCTCAGTACCAACTGCAGCCCTCTGAGAAATAGTGTCTTTCACGCCATCTAAGCGTACCTGCTACTGGGGTGAGTGGACGTGTTGTGTTCAGGGTCAGGAGCGTCCACATGGAGGTGGAAGGGGCCTGCATCCTCAGGCCACATGTAAGGCGACCACTCGGTCGGGACAGGTCCCTGCCATCGCACTAGGGTCTGGGGAACAAACGCAGACAGCCCAGGCCTGTCAGTGGGATGCAGGCTCAGGCACAGCTGGTTATGGCGCCCAGGAAAAGAGCTGATGGTGGCGCTGAGATCAAAGTGCCCTAGGAAACTGGGTGGCTTATCGCCTCAGGGGCGCTGTGGAAGGAGTGGAAATGGGAGCGCAGGGCATGTCCGGCTGGAGAACACGGTGCTACGATGTAGACAGGAAGAGAGGGGCAAATCCAGAGCTAACAAAACTTCTAGTTCAACATGAGACGCTGGCCAATAAACTGGCAAAGTTATCAGAAGATTGATAAAGAATATTTAAAATCAAAGGCTGCTTTCTGTGAACCTACTTTGCGTAAAGCGCTGAACTACGCTGCAGGAGTCAGCAGCCCTAGGTGCTCGAAATGAGCCCGCAGTTTGCGTGGAGGTCCATGGCGAAAACGATACGAACATATAAAGCGCTGCCGGAAACGCATACGATTCACTGCAAACTGGGTGGCAAAGCACTGAATGAGAAACTGCGGAGCAAAGCGGCTGGAGGTGGGCATTGTCTGGACCTGCATTCCCGGGGGTGGGGTCCGGGGAGGCCCTGTCCCTCGGCCCCAGGCTCGCCCTGCGCCCGCCGGGGGCCCACGCCAGGCCAGGGTCGCGCGTGGCGCAGGGGGGCAGGGAGCGCAGCCGGCCCACGGGGCCTCTGCAGCCCGCAAGTGAGCTGCTCCGCCGCGGGCCCGGGCAAGGCCCCTCTGCGAGCAGCGTCCTGGTCTCGGGGGCGCGCAGGGCCGGCTCCGCCCGCTCACGTCTAAGTTGCCGCTGCCCGGGGCCCGTGGCGGAGCCACGGAAGACAGGAGCGCGGTGGGCGCCCGGACGGCAGTGCCGGGGTCGCGCGTGGCTCCGGGCGGGGTCGTGCGGGGCCCTTCGGGCGACCCCATCCCGGCTCCGGAGCCAGGCGCCCCTGCGGCCCCGCCTCGCCGGGCGGCTCCAGCGGCGGGGCCGGGCCGGGACGTCCCCTCCGGACGCCGCGCTCCCCCGGGGCAGCTGCTGCGGGCGCACCCGCGCTTAAAAGCCGCCTCCGCCGCGCCCGCCGGACCGGGCGCCCGCGCTCCTGCTCCGGGGAGCAGCGCCCCCTGCCGCCCGCGCCGCCGCGGGTCCGCCGCCTCCGGGGAGCCGCAGGTAGGACTCGGGCACCTGCGCCTGACGCAGCGGGGCCGGGGCC